CTCTCTCTCTCTCTCTCTCTCTCCTGCTATCCTGCTATCCAGCCACTATCCTGCTCCAGGTATCCCTCTTCTCTCTCCCTCTGCAGGCAAAACAAAAAGATGACTTTGACCACTAGGGGTAAAACGAAAATACGTAGGGCCTAAAAAAAGTTGGCAAGTACCGGGACATTTTGCAAAGATGGACAGCACCCGGTAGGGGTATTTTGCAAAGATGACAGGTCCAGCCGATGCAAGGGGCATTTTGCAAAACATTTTTTGTGTCAGACGGATATTCCGCTCTACCCACATCTTTTAGGGGCATTTTGGCGTATATATCTCAACTTATAGGGGTGTTATCCCTTGTTAGAAATACTACTGAGTAAAAATATCTCCTTTGCGCAATTAAACCACCAGTACTTGGCCCAGCTATTGATGCCCAGCCGGGATAGCCCCTGCGCACCAAGTTTTGCCAAGCCGCCGGGGCACCGTTTCGTTTTCATTTTGGCTGGCGCTTCCAGCCATTGTGGATCGGTGCCCCAAAGCACGCAACTACCGGCGCCTTAAACCACCAGTACACGGCCTCAGCCTTGCAGCAAAATAACCACCAGTACACAGCCTCAGCCTTGCAGCAAAATAACTTGTCGCCACAAGAAGTAAAAGGCGGGCTCGGGGCAGGGTCGGAGCGTCATAAGGTTTTTGAATTTTTGGGCCCATCTCAAATCCGTACGTCCCAAAAAACAAAACAAGCTTTGGCCGTGATTGCAGTTGGATACACTTTTTGGAGTACTCGTGCGAGTTTGCCCTCAGTGAGGGCACTTCAGCAGAACGTAGAACCGGGGGAACAGGACTGTCGGACTCTTAAAAAAAGAACAAAAAAAAAAAAGCCTTTGGCCGAGATAGAATTTTTTTTATTTTTTTTTTCCCAGGAAAAAGTGTGGGATCCTTTATTCAAAGCAAAAAAGTACTTTGAGGCCGGGAATCCTCTACAAACAACCGGGAAGTGAAATTGGCACCGGAACGATTCCAGATTCGATTCAACCTAATCTGGTCCTGCTTCTGCTGAGTTACAAACTTCTTCTGCAGAACTAGCTATGAACCTTCTGAAAAGGAGGTTGGCATTAACCTTCTCTTGCGTACTGTTCAACCATTAACAAGTGAGCTCTCTGCTCTTCTAAATGAACAAAAAGTAAAAAAGGAAAACAGAATCTTGAGCTGTGCGGGCCTACAGCGGACTGCTAAGTGCTCTTCCACTCTGACACTCCAACCTCTGTCCCTGTTCACCTACTGCCTGTCTCCTGCGACTTGTTTACCGAGTGTCCTGATATATATCTCTTCCTTCTCCTGGGAGCCAGACAAAACCCCTTATTTCCCCCCAAAAAAACAGTTTTTTTTAATGTATTCGGATGCTGTTGCACACTATTCTACTCGCCGGAATGTCGGCAGTATCTCATCTTCTCTACCAGATTATTCCCCAATCCTTGTGTCTACAATAGACTTTGTGAGTCTACAGTTCTTACAACCTTGTATTACTCATTCTACTTTAACCATGAACAAAAATTCAGTCTCCCCCCTGATTCTACCTTCACTAACCAGTTCGATCCACTGTCTTGAGCCCAAGTCCTTTCAAACCACCTGACTCCTTTCCCGCCTTCCAGGTTCTGGCCCCCCTTCCTGTTCCAATCTGATTTGATTTACCATCTCAATCTGGTCCGGATCTGAGCCTTGGTCTCCTCGTCTGAAAAGCCTTTGTTTTGAAAACATGCTCTGTTTCTGATATCCCAGATGACTGAGCAGACGATAGCCCTACATGACTGTGTCACATATCTGCACCCTTCTGCAGGCCGCATTTGGGGGGGAAGCAGTCCTTGTAATACCCACTGCTTGTCCCACTCCCATCCCCATGCTGCAAAATCTCTCCAGTGGATGGACCACCATTCCCATATACGTCTGGAGGCAGGGCAGTCCCACCAGATGTGGGACGTTGATTCGAAGGGTCTGGTGCACCTTCTGCAGCCCAATTGCACGTCCATTCCTTTACCGGCCAGCCAAACTGAAGATGGAGTGACTAGTAGAGACAAAAGCCAAAGGATGGCCGCGTGCTTTTGGGAAGGGAGAAGTTGAAGTTGTGACCACAGGCGTCCAATATTGATTAATATCTGTGGCCCAGTACCAGTTATCAAGGTTTCCCCCCTCTCTGCCGCTACAGTGACCGGTCTACGTAACGATGGCATCAACTCCCTGGTGTTCTTCATCTGTGATAGCGGCAACGTGGAACCCTCCTTACCTAGGCCTCTCCACCCCCAGGCTATTGTGTTGAGCTTTCTTTCTGCTAGCGGCAGATCTGAAGATGAGGTCACTATATGCTTTCCTATCTCCTCCCAGCCTTCTTGTACCTTAATCTGCTGCAATTGGGAGCCCAGTGGCGGTCTGTCGATTGCTTCTTGCAGAGTACAGGGAGTTTGTTCTTCTGACTCTGAGTCTGAATCCTCATCTGATGGCTCATAACAGGAAAGATGTTCAAAGTAAGGAGGCTTATCCCATCTTTGGAATTTCCTGGTTTCGTCCTCCGAGTAAGAGATAAGTTTCCAGTAGACTGGTTGAACCGTTTGGGTCTTGGTGATATACCAAGTCCCTGGAGGGTCCACAACTTCTGGGGCTAGACAGCCCTTCCATGACTGTGGGATTGCCTTTGCCAAGTCAGCAAGCTTATCTTCAATATTGTGGAGGTTTCCCAACTTGAGTCTCAGCTCACTTTCCAAAACCCAGTCCCCCGTTAGGCTATTCCATAGGTCGCCAATACGGAGAACTCCTATGCTGATCCATTTTTCTTCAAACGTGCCTGCTTCTCGGTTTGCTCTGAATTAGTGGCCTTGTTGATCCACAATATGCGGGTTGTTAAAGAGCGGTTGGTTGAGAACTTTTGTCTTTGTCGTCGGTGATATCCACTCCGTTGGCTTAACGTTCTTCCACGCCTTAATAACTCCTGCCCAAAAACTTGACTGGATTTTCCTGTTTAGGAAGGACTCCATTTGTAAACAAACCCAGACATCTTCTTCTCGGGCCAAACCCCATTCTGCTGCCAAAATGTGTTCGCCCATCTGTACCCAATGTTCAGTTCCTTCGTTGTCTGCAGCCTTGATAATCCAGTTTGCCAGCGATGTGCAGTTCCTTGGATGTGGGTCACAGACACCCAGTCCTCCTTCGCTTCTGGGTTGTGTGATGAGTTCCCACACGACTTTTGAAATGTAGGCTTGGTCAGTGTCTCCCCTTGGTTTCCAAATAAACCTTGCTGATATTTTTCTTGTCAGAGCTAACAAGGAGGAACTCAGCAAACGAACTGACCCAACATAATTA